CATGTAAAAAATCAATTACATGTGCAGCTACCCCGGAAGTAAGATCTAGCGCTATCTGCAGGGATTTCTGTAATATAAGACCTACCCCGAACTAGGTCTTATTTTCGGGGTAGGTCGGGGAAACACGGTGCATAGTAGAGATGTTTCTGAGAATACAATCAAAGCTGACATGAAAAAATCCCTTTTATGTAGTGAGTGCCGCCTTCCATCTGCCCAGCACTTCCAACAACTTCCTGGATTCCCAGTGTGCTTTGCGTCTTTCCCTGCTGCTTGATGTGATGCCATCTTCATTTCCCAAGACTACATCTCCCATCATGCAATGCTTCCAGCAAGCAATGATGATGTTGCATCAGGCTAAGCAGTCTCATAAGCAATGCATGTAAAAAAAAGTTTTCCTTTTGTGATCTTGGAATTCTCCTATTAGTTGGTGCTCGGTCAAGTTCTCTCTGCTGGAGGGAAATATCGGCATTCAGGCAAACTGCTGGTTGGCCAGGACTGAATGAGCATCACTGCCCCATTTCTGCCCTGCTGAGATCATGTGACTCATCGGCGGCATTCGGGCAAGTGACTGGCATCAGCATGGAGATTCCTTTCTGCTTTGCCAAAGAAGATCTTTCACTGCATTATCTTTACGGTCGGGTAAACATAAGCTATCAAGTCTTTTGTCTAACCAGACAAAGATCCAATCAAATGAACGAGGTGACTGATTGTATAACTTCCTAAAACACTTAGACTCCAATTCTTTTCTGGAACTGATTTAAATGTATGACGTGATTTAGCTGCTTTTACACAGGTTACAATGATTCTGCTGTCCAGCGCCATGCGCGATCGATCGCTGATTACACCTCCTCATTAACCTGCCAAGAATGATTTTCCATCGTGATATTTGCCAGCATATTGATCCTGTACCATTTAATCTTTTTTTTTTTACAAATAGTGAACCAGTTATTGGAGTCGTCTTATTGGATTGATTAAAAATATAGTTTTAAAACCAATTTGGCACCACCTAACAAACTGTAATTTAATTTTAATTAGGCAAAATGTCATTTGAAAGGTTAGTCAGGAAGAAAAATAGCCTTGCACTGTACTGCAAGAGTTAACTGCTCATTTATGATCCCTGCGTTCTTATCAGACGGCGCTCACTTCTCCCCCCTTTTGGATGTGGCCTGTCCCTTGGTAGCCTCCGATATAATGCACGGCCTTGCATTAGACATCATTTTCAC